AGCACCCAGCCGGCCGCCTGCTCCCCATTCGGCAGCCCCTGCCTCTCCTGAAAGCACAGGCACCACGTGTCCCTCCTGGTGGGTCTCAGAGGAGCAGTGCCTATCGCAGAAAGGTCAGCCGTGCATCCATTAAGCCTGTGTGAGCCGCGGGCGCTTCCAGCTGCTCCGCCTTAGAAAACAGCTTCCCGAGCCCTCTCCCTCTCCCGTCCTGGGGAACAAAGACAGCCACTGGGTGGGCGAACGTTTATCTTCAACCCCCCACTGGGCCCGAGGACCAGCCTGGCTTCCCTCTGCTCCCCGCCGCCTGCTCTCCCAGTCGCTCCAGCCCCAGCCGTCCTCCTGTGGTGCAGCGACCGCCCGGGCCCGGGCCTGTGGATGCCCCTGGTGCCCGAGCGTCTTCGGGGCTGTTGGCCATGTCCTCCCTGAGGCTTCTGATCAGCGCAGTCGGGCTGTTGGTCCTGGTGGCTCGTCTGCTGCGGGACAGGGGCGCCCTCCCAGCACCCTCTGTGGCGGGCCTCCTTCCCGCCCCGTAAACAGCCTTAAGACCTGCTTTTCACCAGTCAGCAGCCTTAAATGCTGGTCGAAATCCAGCCATTTTCACACCCTCTACCTTCCTGTCCATCTTCAGGAAACATCTGGGCCTGGACACGGCACTGAGCCGCCCCTGCTCGGCTCCCGGCTGCTCCTTCGCATCGCCGCCCTCTCCCTCCTTCTCCGCCCTCCAGTGCTCGGCCCGTGTCTTCTCTGCCCTATGCAGTGCCCTCTCCCCTCACTGTCCTGTCCCAGCCCCTCAGGGAGTAGGGAACCCGAGGCTGCAGGGAGGAGCATGGGCCTCAAGGGGCCTCCTGCTGAGGGTCTGTACCCGAGAACCAGGTCTTCGCTGGGGGGGGCAGGGCCCTGCCTGTGGACACCTCCTTTCCTGTCCTCCCTCCCCCGTCCCCCCCCCGCTTCTCCGTCCAGTGGAGACCTTTGTGAGGAGGGTCTCCTGGGGGCACACCTCTTGCCTCCTGGGTCACTGCAACCACCTGGCCCCCTGGGGCCTTGTGTCCGGGGCTGTGTCCCAGACAGACCTCCTGGGTCTCCTGGAACAGTGGGCCCTTCTGTTGTGGTGTAGCCTTTCCTCCACGCTCCTCGGGCTTCTCAGCCTCAGGCACTCACAGCCCCGACTGCTCCTGCTCCTGGAACTGTTCTAACTGTGCGCACGTGTGTGCGTGTGTGCGCGTGTGTGTGTGCGTGTGTGTGCGTGTGTGTGTGCGTGTGTGTTTGCGTGCTCCTTCCTCTGGCTTCTCTGTTTCTGGCATTGCTCCTGCTCCCACACATGTCCGTGCTCCGCACAGACCCTTCCTGGATTGGCCCTTTGTGGTCCTTTATCCTGTGAACTCTTAACTCGCCCAGTTAAAACAGCTACATTTTTCTGAATCGGACCCAACCTCTGCTCCATTTCCTGATGTCTCTTGGACGCCCCCCACCACTAACTCAACAGAACCAAACCCAAACCTGCCATTTCACTCCCCATTCTCCACCCACCAACTGGCTTCACCCCTTGGACCCCCCATCGCATCGGAAGGACCACTCCCCCTTGGACTCAAGCCCGAATGCCCTGTGCTGAGCCCGCCCTCCCTCTCACCCCAGGGGCTGCCTCTGGGGCTGTCGCCTTCTCCTCACTGTCCCCCCAGCTCCACCGTTTCCTTACACAGAACCGGCGTGGCCTTGTTAGAGCCTGTCCTCCTGGCCCTGCCACTCGGTCCAGGTGCTAAGTGCTCGCTGGTGCCAGGAGCTGTTCGAGGTGCTGAAACCGCGCTGACTCCACCTGCCCTGCTGCCCTGCCCCGCCTCGGGCCTGAGCGTGCAGCCCATCCTTTCAGCCCTGGCTTAGCCTTGTCCGCAGAGCCTTCTCGGGCTCCGGCCCTCCCAGGAGTCCCGTCTCGCAGGGATTTGTTTGCACATCTGTCTCCACTCTAGGCTGGGGCTCCCAGAGGACTGGAGCCTGGCTGACTCGCTTTTAAAGTTCATTTTCATTCAGCATTGAGTAGGTGTTTACAAAGAATAAGAGAATACTTATAAATATGTGCACGAGGTAAGGGCAACAATACCGTGAACACCTGTAAGGACCCGCCTGCCATGGGAAGAGACGTGACCCATTCATACCATCCACCCCCGTCGCTGGGCCGGACAGCAGCCCGGGGCAGGGAGGGCTCGCGAATGACCGAATGCCCAGGCGAGTGGCGCGCCTCCAGTTTCCTCAATGGGGATCGGTGCTGCGGGGCAGACTCCAGGTGAGAGGTCATCACTCAACCCCATGTCTGCCCCTCTCGTGAGCTCACTGCGCTGCTCACACGTCTTCCGTTGACCTTGCTCTGCTTACGGCGTGCCCACTCAGCGCCAGGCCTGGTGTCAGAGGGGGGTGTGCACTGGACAGCTCTTCAGAACAGTGTCCAACGAGGCCTCCTGCAGTGCTCCCACCCTCCACAGCCTCCCTGCGGTCCCCAGAGCAGGAGCCCAGCTCACCCCTTGCAAGTCCTAAAGGCTTTCAGAGTCACTTCTTTGTGTGGCTGTTTCCTTGTCTGTAAAACTGTCAGAGTGGTCCTGCCCCCTGGATTGAAGGAGTTAATGTGAAACAGCTGCTTAGCACACAGCGGGGCTCGTGGTGCGGGCCTGGCTGCCATTGCTGCCTCTGTCATCCACAGAGATTCTGTGTGGCAGGGCTGGGTGCGGGCAGAGGTCGGAGAGGACTCCCTGCAGGGGAGGGTCGAGTACCAGGCTTCTGGGCTCGCCCTCTCTGTCCTTCCCTCACTTCCGGGTGAGGATCATAAAAAACAACTTTCACACATCTGGCAACAAGGATACAGCAGAAATGGCGAAATTCTCCGAAGAAACCAGGGACCTCGCACGCCGGGAGGGGCTGCAGTCCTTCCCATGGTGCCAGGGCTCTCGGAGCCTCTGGGTGGCTTTCAGGGGCTGCTTTCACATCGCAGCCCAAGTAGCCGACGTCAACAAGGAAACTGTGGGTCTAGCCAAGTGGGAGTGTTTCCTAACGATGCCTAGAAACTAGTCCACCTGGAGGCCGAGGGCCAGGCCCTGCGCGTGGGCCAGAGGTGCCGCAGCACCGCCTGGTGGTCCTCACAGCCGGTGGCAGAGGTGGCCCAGCGGGGCTGGCCGGGCCCCGGGCTGCTTGTCCTACTGAAGGGCAAGTGCAGGCCTGTGAGACTGAGCGGGGCTGTGTGCTGCTCTTGGCTGATGAAAGAAGCGTTGGGTGGACATGTAATAGGATTTCTTCTGGGGGAAGAGTCTGTTTTGGACCGAGGGTGTGTCTGTCGCCAGCAGTTCCCTAGGAGAGAGGAAGAGCTGCAGTGTCTGGCGTGGGCCTCCGGGGGCTCCCGGCCTCTCCCCTCCGAGTGGCTTGTCCTGAGATGCCTACCAGTTGGCTCCTGGGTCTCGTTGGCAAGCGATGGCCTTCATATAGAGGCAGCAAACATAGAGTCTCTTCCTGTCGGGCAGGCCCTGCAGGGCTGGGCTCTGGGGCAGAAGGGCAGGCCAGGCCGCTCCGTGGGCAGCGGTGGCCCGGCCTCTGCCGTGGCTCCTGGCCAGGCTGCCCTGCCTCTGGGTGCCAGGCGCCACCCAGGTGAGCACAGGCTGAAGCAGGCATGGGCTCTGGGGCCGGAGAAAGCATTGCCTTTGGCTCCTTGTGCTCAGCGTCTGTCAAATTGGAAAAGAAAAACTGGCAGAAATGAACCTAAGTCGGGTGGAAGGAGAAGGCAGGGAAGGGAGCTGGGTGTAGCTGACGGTTGGCTTCTGCCTCATTGCGTCACCTCATTGCTGGCTCGGGGTGGGGCCGGGCCCGGCGGACTTCCTCTGTGGTTCCTCTGGGGCTGATGCTAGAACTCCAACCCCACCCGGCCTCGCTCTAGCAGAACAGTCACGCGTCCCCCATCTGGATGGGCTTGGCCTGGCTCCAGGCCTGCGGGGGCGCTGCCAGGAAGGCCTTTCTCCGCCGGTGATGGCATTCGGCAGGTAGTGGGTGCCCCACCTCCAGCTGTCAGCTCAGCCTCTGAAGAGGCCCCGTGAGTGTCACGGACCTGCCCGAGCAGCAGTCCGGACTTGAGCTGTAGCCTGGAGACACCTGGGGGGACAGGTACTAAGGTCACCGTCCTGCCTCCACACCCTCCAGGTAACTGTCTGTGGTTCCGCCCGAGAGTCAGGCTGTTTAGGATGGCCCTGGGCGCTTCCTGTGTGGTTTGGAGCCTGGTGCTCGGTGTGGTCTGCAGACTGTAACAGGCCTCACCTTAGCGACTCTTCCGGATGCAGACCCAGCCCACGCTTCCTGAGCGAGAACCTGCGCTTCTTCAGGAGTGAGAGGGACTCTCTTGGTCCGACCGGAGGGCCTGGTGCTGAGGGCTCACATGGGAGACGCTGGTCAGGCCTGAGTGCGCACCCGGTGGAGCACTCGCCATGGTGGCGGGTCCTGCGCTGGGCAGCACGAGGAGGGTGGCGGTGGGCGTGGGAGAGCCGCGCAGGCTGCTTCTCTGTGATGTGTCCCTAACGTAGTCCTTTTCAATGTCATTTCAGCGTCTCCAGGAGACTGGACCCCAAGGAGCCCCTGGGCAGCCAGCGAGCAGCTTCACCGACCCCGAAGCAGGCTGCTGGGGCTGTTCCCGGCCATGAGAGCCCCCGGGAGACAGGGGCTCAGGGCCAGGCCGGCCAGGAAGCTGGGGGCCCCCGCAGGACGCTGCAGGTGGACAGCAGGACGCAGAGATCAGGGCGGTCCCCCTCCGTGTCACCAGACAGAGGCAGCACCCCCACGTCACCTTACTCCGTCCCCCAGATCGCCCCCCTTCCCAGCAGCACACTGTGTCCCATATGTAAGACCTCGGACCTCACGTCGACCCCCAGCCAGCCAAACTTCAACACCTGCACCCAGTGTCACAGCAAGGTCTGCAACCAGTGCGGGTTCAACCCCAACCCCCACCTGACCCAGGTGAGCACCGCCGCCCCCTCCCCACCTGCCTGCCCCGCCCCCTCCCGCTCCCTTCCCCTCTGTCACCAGCTCTCTCTCCCTCTCATGTCCCTTGGCCACCGGCCTCTGTGTCTTCCTGGGCTTGTATTCTGGCTCCAGATGTGGCAGCGGAGACCAAGGCCTGGCCCAGGTCCTGTGGGTCCCACCTCCTGGAGGCGTGGGTGGCCCCAGAGCCGAGGCGCTTCTCACCTGGTCCGAGTTTGACCTGGAAAAATGGCGTTGCGAGGACCAGACATCTTGTGGACACCTTTCCCCAGGGGACTCATTGAGGAGGCCTGAGGCTAGCCTCTCCCTGACATGGGCCGAGGGAGAGCGAGGTGTGGGAGGCAGGACACTGCCCTGCATCTGGGGAGCTCCCCTCTGCGCTCCACTTGTTGGTCAGCTGGGCGGAGCCACGAGAGGCCCAGGCCGGGGCCAAGCGTTCACATGGGTGACAGTGCCCACGCTCACCGGAGGCCACTTGGGGGCCATTTCCCTGAGCTTGGCCTTCCTTCTGCCCCAGAGGCCCTGTGCCTACAGCTCCCCGCCCCCCCGGGGGTGCTCAGCCACCCCGGAGGCTCCCTGGCGACCCGGAGGCTGCTGCTCACGTGCTCTCGCTGAGCCGGCCGTGCCTCCTCGCTCTGCTCGGGGCAGTCTGGATGGAGCGGGTGCTGACGGCAGACACAGGCATGGCCGCCTCTGGAATCAGCAGCGGGAGCCGGGGGACCACACGGTGGGGGAAGTGGGAATACGTGTTCACAGGTCGGGTCTATTTGTGACACGAGGTGCCGTGGGTGTGGGACGCGTGGTTTGCGAGAGGTAAGTGTGAGCTTGCAGGAAGGAGCTGCGGTGGGTGACTCAGAGCGCTTGGAGTCATTCCTGGAGTGCGGGGGCTTCCTGAGGAGGCGGCGCACGCGTGATGGTACATCTGGGATCAGAGACAGCCCGTCCCTGCCCGATGGTAGGGAAGTGTTTGCCTTGAGCCGAGGACAGTGTGGCTGAGGCCCAGGCCGCTCACCTGTGCCTTCTCCCGGGGGGAAGCAGGGCATCTGGCCTTGCGGGTGCTGGAGGCGTGCGGGCAGCGATGAGCTGCTGCCCTGGCGTCCCCTGTGCCGGCCTGGCCTCTGGGTTCCCTTCCTCAGATGCTCGCTCAGCTGCAGGACCAAAGGGCTTCGGGTGGGTGGGCAGAGATCCCGGGAGAGCCCGCACGTGGCACCGCTCTCCTGGTGGCATCCCGGCCCTCACCACACGTGGGCTCCTCCCCGCCCGGCTCGT